TAATATTCATTGTATACTCTTGTGTTGTTTTAGTGTTTTATGTTATGTGCCTAATTGGTGTGCTTATAGGTTAAAAACCCAGCCAAAAATAGCTCATTTCAAAATATACTATCCAAAATAGCTGTTTTAAGTTCAAGGGTATATGATCAAAGGTGGTTATATGAGGGCCAACGAAACTCTTCAGAAGCAGCACTGGGGCAAATGGGAGGTTTGCGTTAACAACCCAATTCACTTCTTGTGTCTGGGCCTTTTGCCTTCGTCAGGTAATCTGTTCAGGGCTCTCTCACTGTGAGTGGGACATGACTCTCAGACCCTGACACCCATGTGACTTGCTTTGGCCAATACAGTGGGGCAGAAATAACGGGGTGTCAGTTCCAAGCCTAGGTTTCAAAGGACTCTGGGTTTTGGCTTCCTCTCTGTGCTCTGCTCTCTCCACCAGAAGGACCTGTCCAGGGTAGCCCACTGGTCCCCTGAAGAGAATGAAAATCACGTAGAACAAGTCTATTCCAGCTAAGATGTCCCCACCTCCACAAAGGGCGCACAAAAGCTGGCCCAGCTTTGTCCCCAGAGCTCACTGTTGCTCGTGACTGCCCCTCCCTGCCCTGGAAACAATCCCAGTCCAAACTTCCCACCTTCTTGGCCCACCCATGGGATGGAGGGCCACTGGGCAACTGCAACCAAGCTATAAGCTGGTGTCATTGTTGCCATTTCACAAAGACCCCAATGCTCAGCAGCATCAAATAATGGGCCTGAACTCCTACTGCCAGTGTAAGAGGCTAAGATCCAATCTTCTGTCTCACTTCAAAGGCGCTGTGGTGGCCCATTTCCCCAGGGCAACCCACCCCTCAAAAAGTCCTATGGGGTATTAAGGTGCATCACTGCTAAGGAGGGTGGCCTGAGCTGTCATAAGCAGGGAATGTAGAATTCTGAACGGGTTAGAATCCTGCAGCACCAGGGACAGGTTTCAAAAGAACAGCCTACCTAGAGAATGCTTGGGACCTTGCTGATGGCTTCTTCCCCGCTTAGCAAGTGGAGAGACAAGTTTTCCTGGTAGTGGGTGGGAGTGAGGATCAGCTGCCTGCTGTTGAAGCCTGGTTTCTCTGCTGTGGTGAGAAATGGAAGCCCAGCAGGTTCAATCAAGGGACTTCTCGGAGCCCCTATCCCCTGTGCCTACTGGTGGGAGGCAGCTCCTCATGCTGCCCACCTGACCTTGAGCTCTACAGTCAGAATCTCCAAAGCATACCTGGAGCTACAAGATCAGGCAAAGCCAGGCTCAGTTGCTTAGGAAAGATCTGTGTCAGGAGAGCAGTTACCTGCTAACTGACATATCCATCCTCAGGATGGTAAGCTGAACACCCCAGGACCCCAGGTGTCTGGCAGTTACATGGGATTGATCAGGAACATTTGAGGCATCCCAGACTAGGATCATCCTGCTGAAGCAGGGCTAGGAGAGGGATCTGTGTTTGTGCGTGTGCGTGTACACATGTATGTATGGGTGGCAGAGGCAGAGACAGACACACAGAGATTGAGATGTTAGGCACTGAGGTTATCCTGGCTGGAGAATCTAGGGGGCTGACTCCTGTCTTGCCAGGATCCTGAGGGAGACAGATGCATGAGGAGAAATAGCTAAGCAAATTGCTGTACTGTGCCCCCAACCTGAAGTGTGTAGCCACAGAGCCTCCAGATCACATTCCAGGACTCTGAAGCCCCTTGTTCAAGCCCCTGAGCCTCTTTTTTCCTGATGCACTGGGTCCAAGGGGTAGCCAAGGGTAGCTGTTTGGGGAGAAGGGAGGACGGACCTGTAATGAGCTTGGATGTATGGCTCGAACATCCAACGACATGCAGGGGGTCCCTTTGTGGTGCAGGATGAGGCAGTGAGTGGGAGGAGAGGCCTGGGGGAAGGGGTGTCTCTTACACTCTTACCCAGACCCCACTACTGTGAGGGGCAGCCCTGCCCTGAGGTGACAGCAGCAGTCTTGGCTGCCCTTGTCCCAGCAGAACCAGGATCCCAGGCGCTGAGGGAAAGACCCCAGAGCACTGGTCAGAGGAGCGCCAGCAGGTTGCCCTCTGCTGCTGGGGAGGCCTCGCAGGGCCAGCCAGAGGTCAGGGTCTGGAGAGGAGGTGGCCAAGTGACAAAGGCAGGCTTCCAGGACTGTGTTCTAGGATTCCTCAGGGTTCTAGGGGGAGGGCACTGGGATCCCCACCAGACCAGGGAAACGGGAGGAGGAAACCCTTTCTGCTCACCTCAGGCAAACCCCTCGCTTTACACACGGGACTCAGTGATTGTCGCTGTAGGAATCAGAGATCGGAGATGCACATGCCCAACAGTGCCCGACGGCCGCGCAGTAGGCGAACCACCCCAATAGCCAGCAGCTGCGAGTGATGATGCCTTCTACTCCTCAGCTGATTTGGGCAGATCTCAGAGGGTGGTCCTGCCTCGCTGGCATCATCCCGAGTCACTGACTCGGCCTCTGTGAGCAGAAGCCTGGGCCAAAACACCAAAGCAGGCATCACCCACTTGAATGGTGGCTCCTCCCCAAGGCTTCTCCACCTGGCCAGCTCGGGCTTCTTCACAGCATAGTGGTCTCAGGGCAGTAGGACCCAAGGAAAAGCAGAAGCTGCCAGACCTCTTAAAGGCCAGACCAGGATGGGCATGTCACTTCTGCTGCAATCTGTGTAGTCCTGTGGGTGGGGACACACACGCAGGGATGGGGAGGACTAGAGAGTGGCCATCTCTGAAGGTGACTGACCATGGCGCTCAGCTCCTTCTTCAGCTGTGAATGTGTGGCCTTCCCTCCGCAGGCTCCTCTCCCTGCCCTTTCCTTTAGGATCCCTTGGTTCTGGGCTGAGGCAGAGTCAGATGTCAGGACCAGTGGGGACCTGCACTCACCCTCATTGAAATGCATGGGAAGTGGGGAAACTGCAGGGGCTGGACCAGATGCCCCAGTACTCCTAGCTTGCCAAGCTCAGCTCAGCAGAAGGGAAGTGGCCCAGCGACTTGGACAGCCCACCAGCCCAGACAGGGAGTGTGTCAGTAGTGGCTATAACGAACTGAGGGGAAGGAGGCCTTCCTCGTTCTACCAACACCACTCAGGCCTCCTAAGACTTCAGAGACTCCAGGGAAGCAGACGGTCCCCCAGTAAGGACTTGGGCTGAATTTCCCACCAAACAGGGCTTGGAGTAGGATTTTAATTAAACTGAACTTGAATTAAAGCTGCACATTTCTTGTACAGCTGAGACGCATGTACTGCGCAGACAGAAGCACATGTGTGTTAGTGGAAGGAAAGGAGGGCTCAGCCCCCTGAGCCGCCCAGCCCCACCCCGCCCCAGCAGGCCTCCAGGGATTCAGACAGCATTCAGAATGGTTAACACTGGCTGCAGAGAGCGGGGAATCAATGTTGGAGGTGGTTAGGAAGACAGTGGACTCTACATGATGGGTTTTTGGGTGAACTGTCCCTGAAAAGTCATCTTCCTGACTGCGGAGATAGGCAGAAGGTATGTATGTGCTTATCCAAAAGCTGGATACACAGGGCTGCAGAAGGTGAGCTGGGGCTGTGACCACACAGAGCGCCTGGGGAGGGGCAGGGGAACGCTGCAGTCTGCCGGCTTCCATCTTACCTGTGTACCAGGCTGGCCCCAGGCTGGTGTGTTTGGGAACTTGAGTTGCAGGAGGGTTCCTGCCATTCGCAGTGTCCAAACTGTGCAAAGAATGTGGTTCATGCTCAACACCTGCTTTCCTTCTGAGACCCTGGGACTTTGATATGTGCTGGGCAGCAGATGCACACATGACCAGCCCCCAGTATCACCCCTGAAGCTGTCTCTCCACTAGGTTTTCTCACTGGCAACATTTCCCGTGTGCAGTCACACTTGTTGCTGGGGAATGAAACATGTACCGTGAGACTGACCAGGAGGACCCTCGGAAGCCAGCAGCTGGTATTCCCCAGACTGTGCCCATGACCTCTTCCCTCTGAGATGGTGCTTGGCACGCTTTTGTTGTAATCAATCAAAGCCAAGTTACAACTGTATCTGCGTCCTGTGAGCCCTGAGGGTGGTCTTGGGGACCCCTGGCACACATACGCATCCTGGACTCCCAGGCAAGGCCCTGCTACAAGCCTGGGCTCAGGACCCAGTCATCCCTGGGCGCCGCTGAGGTCACCCTCCTCCCCGCTCCACTCCCACACTCCATGGGCCCCTGTGAGCCGGGGAGAGGGAGTCTCAGGCGATTCTCTCCAGGCAGCTGTATCAGTGCTGACCTGGAAGGTATCAGGATCTTCTGTCCCAGTTAGGAGCCTCCTGAGCTTGGCACACAGGGTCGGAGGACACTTGGTTCTGTAAAACTTAGGAGTTCTGTTTGCGTGACACAAGCACTGAGGTCACAGAGTCAAGACTGAGGCTGTTCAAACCCACGGCAACCACTTCAGAATAAGTCTGCGTCGGGCTAGAAAGGACCCTGAGAACACATAATTCCCCAGGAGGGGAGACGCGGCCTGGCTGGGCTAGCACATGCTGCTGCCTCCTGCTGTGGACACAGTTCTGTCACGGCGGTTCCCAGTCTACATCCCTCTCCCACAGATCATGAGTCCCCATGGGTGTCACATGTAGCATTTAGACACCCAGTGTTGAGCAGACCTGACTCACCCAGCTACACGCTCATGAGGGCAGGATAAGGACTGACCCCAGGTGTCCTGCCTCCCAGCCTATGTTCTTATCAGGGGGCAGTGCTGTTAAATGGCACTGACAACTCCTCACAGTCACACCCTGCATGTGGGAGCATCAAAGGGAAAGAGTCTGCACAGGCAGGCCGTCAAGGGACCCTGCCACCAGGGCGAGCCCCAGGCTTTTTGCCCCTATTTCTCTGCTCCCAGATGTCTTGACTTGAGAAGGCGCAGAAGCTTCTGCCCTGATCAGCATCAACCAGCTGACCAGAAAGAACCAGCTCCGAGACCCACCCTTCGTTCTCTGAGTGGAGGCTGGAAATAAAACAAATGGACAGCTCCATGTAAGAGAAATGATTTAACTTTATAGAAACATGATAATACAAGATTTGATTGGTTTTTTTCTCTTATTTTCTTTTGGGAGTGAAATTTATTAAAAAACATCTGGAATAAAAATTAGAAACATAACCTATTAAAAGTAGAAACATAAACATTTCAAGGAAAAAGAGTCATTTGGAAAGACAACAAAGAGAAAACAGCACGCAGCAGAGAGCAGCGCAGGGAGGGAGCAGCACAGGGAGTTCTGCCGAGATGACCAAAAGGTAAAGGACCAACACCAGGAGCCGGACCTCTGCACCAGGCCGAGCTGAGCAGTGGGCGAGGGGTGGGCAGTGAGGCCTTCCTGGATGGGCCTTCCTGGTGGCTGCTGGCTCAGTGGGGCTGGGGGTAAGCAGTGGCCTCCTGCAAACAGGCCCACATCCCCTCCTCTTAAAGGGCCTACCAAGCATGGGGCAGTGATTCACAGCCAAGTCCCATGGACTGGCACTGTAAGGCTGCCTTCCTCCTCCATTCTCTGTCCCTGACCTGCAGGTCACTCTCCCACTGTGGTGTGCTCAGTAGGGAATCTTCTCAGAATGTCAGCCTAAGCAGGGATGGCAAACATGCCAGGGAGAACAGGAAAACAAGGCCTGTAGGGCTACCTGCAAACCTTCTTTGGAATGTGTGCATCACAGCCAAGGCAGCGTTAGGACGGCCTCAGAGTGGCGGGCTGGGACCCCCACAACACCCCCCAGCCCTCTTTTCCTGGGGAACTCTTGACTATATGCTAGGTGTCTAACCATGACCACATAGGTAGCACAGAAAGGCCACAAAATATGGGGAGTTGGGAAGAGATGTCACAAAGAGAAATGGCTGATATGTAACAGGAGGAAAGTTGCTACAAGTAGGCTCAGAGGTGACCACAGTATGGCCTGGGGTCAGATGGCAGTGGCAGGGACTCATGGACCCTGGGCACACACAGCTCATGTTCTTTTGGTGTTGCAGCCATGTGAAAGGGGGACAAGGAATCTGTAGAGGGATTTCCCACCAGAACAGTGGCAACTTTTGAGGTGAGGCCTGCCCCCTGCTATTGACTCATCGGGATGTCATGAGCCACAGCACAGCAGGCTTTCGGGTGAGGAGTCCGTGGCTGCCTTCAGCTGAGAGTGCTCTCATCTGAGCAAGTCCCAGGGAGAACTAGTGCTCTCCCCTTCAGCGTGAGCAGCACAGGAGGCCCCTGCAGGTGAGCGAGCATCGGACCCCAAGGCCGCAGGGCAGGAACAGAAGCAAGGGGCCACTAGACCCCCTGGTCCTCAGGCTCACCTGCATCCTTTTCCCTCCTGCCCCAGCACTCAGAACTCTAAGTCAGGACGGAAGGTGCTGAAGGCGCAGGAGGCAGCAGCTGTGTGGACCTTAGCACCTCCTCTGCTTTCCACCTTTCCGCCAGCGCCTGATGGGACGGAGCTCACCAAAGTCTTCAGCTTCGTGTTGGTAATCATCTTCCTGGACGACACCTGTTTGAAAAGAAAAAGAAAAAAAAACAGAAACAAGGTGGACAAGGTGGAGAATGGTGATTTTTCTCACTCCACTGTAAAATACAACATCCAAGCCTAGTGTCTCGTGATCACTGCTTTAAATTAAAGGGAAAAAGCCTGTGTCAAAGCCAAAGCAAACACCCTTATCGGGAACGAGGCTCTTTGACAGGCTGCTCCCTCTGGCCTTGCATCAGAAGCCGTTTAAATGGAAGAATCAAACCAAACCTAACTTGGCTGCAGATGTGACTTGGTATACCAGCTATCCTCCTCTGAAGCAACCACAAAATTCACAGCCCAGCAGGGACTGTATTCTGAAGATTTCTTCTTGGCGCAGACACTTGTGCCAAGTCCCTTTAAGTTCTCCCTGCTCTGGGGTCTGGATTTTCCAGTAGCATCTGGATGAGAGGGACCCAGAAAGGACAATCTGGGGCAGGTGTGATGCTCAGAGCGAGAAGAGGTCCAGCCACGGTGGGTGGCAGGTGGGGTGGACACGAGGGAGGCCTCGCAGACCGCATGGAACCAGATGAGACAACTCTGCTGGAGGACCCGACTCATTCTGCCGAAGCCTGTGACCCCCTGTAGGGGGCATGCGCACCCCCCATGTTTGTGTCTGTCTTATTCACAAATTTGCTGTTTCATATCCCCACATCCCAAACAGCGCTGATACACATTAGAGAGCCAATAAATATTCACTGACTCATGTGAATGGCTGACACCAGCAAATATACTTAGCAAGAGATGGCTACACAACACCTTGTCTCTCCTCAGGAGTCACCATGTAGAGCATGAGTGGTGACTGAACATTGATTAATTGCTCACGAGTGGCAAGAGGTTTTTGTAAAGGCAACTGAGGTGAGCCCAGAATAACGTCCTCGAGGTCAGAGGGGGAACTCAGCTGCTTTGCTACCTATCATCTGACGCTCAGAGTGAGTGCCCATGGCAGACCGGCCTGCAGGTCAGCCGAACCCAGAATCCTGAGACCCAGGGCACTGCCCTGGATAAAGGACTCCTTACCTTCCTCCTTCAAGCGGAGTTCCGTTTGCATCAGCCACTCCCGTGCGGTCCTGACAGACGGGATCAGAACACTGACAAGCCGAGCCATCACCTCCTCAGCTGTGGGAGCCAAGGAGCAAGAGCTTTGAGTGAAGGGGCTGTGGGACAGACCAGAGCCCTGGAGCCAAAGCCCCTACTTGCCAAGAGCATGTCCACATTTCCCCACAGGGTAAGGACCCATGACCGCCATCTGCCACCGTGAGGACCAGCTGCAGTGAGATGCTAGCCTGGTGCCACCACTGTGTGACTGTAGAGACTGCCCACAGCAAACCTTTCAAGGAAGCCTTTGTTCAAAATGTCATTAATCCTTAAGCTGGAGTATCTGAATTATAGAATGATTTTTAAATATGCCATGGGACTGATTTTATATATAACATAACTTCCATGCAGTGTTGCTAAGAAGTGGCTGATAAGGAAGGCAGAGGAAATTGAATTCAAAGACCAGAGTGGAATTCTCGTGATGAAGGGCTCACACTGGGTACGGTGGAAGGATCCTCCTAAAAGGAAGGAAACAGCTGCATGCCTCTAGTTCTCAGTCGAGGGTCTGCACAGAGTATGTTCAAGGAATGATGGTGGAACAATGAACAAAAGCTAAAGCATTTCCTTAGGACTTTAAGCACTGTCCCTAGATCTTCACCACAGAATTAGTTAGCAAGCTCTTGTCTTGTCTGTAGTGCCAGGGGAGACCATCCTGGCCCAAGATAATCACAAAGTCCTAACTGGGGCAAAGTGGTCCAAACCACAGAGTATTGCTCTAATCTGAGGGCACACATGCCTCACTCATGTTCTGCTAATGCCAAGTTCCACCAACCCAGTCAGACATGGCCACAGTGGACTTAACTCTGACATGCATTCACAGAGCCCAGGCCCTACCCCCACTTCTGAGGGCCCCTTACCGCCAGCCCAGGCCTTCCGCCGGTAGAGGTCCTCCACCATATCCAAAACCTTCTTGATGTTCTCCTGAACCTTCCTCTGCAGCATGTGGCTATGCTCTTTGGAGCCCAGGTGGCTGCAGACCCACATGCTCTGCTCCAGGTCCTGCACCACCAGTTTGCCTTCATCAATGGCCGGGTCCACCGTCTCCCGGAAAAACTCAGAGTATTTCTGGTAGGCCATCTGCTGCCTCTGGTGGCCCTCCAGAAGGACGTGATGCTCGTAGGACACGCTGCTCCAATCTGGACCCCCCCTATCTTCCTGCCCAGCCCCAGACAGAGCCGCTGCCTTGGAAGCTGACCCCTCAAATGCTTCAGAGGGACCAAAGTAGCTTTCAGGAGCGCGGGTGAACTTCACGCCACACAGGTCGCACTGGGTCCTGTCCACGTCGGCCCTTTTGAAACTCCCAGCTGCAGGCTCCCTATTCTCCTCCCTGCAGCACTCCGTCAGGGCGCCCACCCTTCTCCTCCAGCTGATGCAGAGGGACACCACCAGGCACGCTCTCCTCAGCTTGCGCTGGATAGACGCCTTCCACTGCTTCTGGGAGAGGATGGTGGTGAGGAGATAGTCTCGCTCTTCTAATGCCAGCTCATCCGCCTCATCCTGCCCACACTCACACTCTGGTTCAGCAAGGTCCTTCATGGGGTCCACACAGAGCAGGCGGTTTAGTCTGACCTCCTCGTGGTAAAGGCCGCAGATCACAGTCCCCGAGGTATGCCCACTGTCCCACCGCCAGGAGCAGTCCATCAGGTACTCCCCGTCCCGCTCAAAGAGCAGGTCCTGCAGCACCTCAGCCACAGACTTGGCATTGACTGCCACCAGCACGCGCCTCACTGCTCTCAGGAGCCTCTCAGGCACCTGGCCCGGGAACTCCGTGCTCATCAGCTGGAGCCTGGCCTCCATCTCCTGGAAGTGGCAGGACAGGAGAGGCCGGCAGTGCGGCCGCAGGACCGCCTGGGCATTCACCAGCATCACCAAGCACAGCACCAGTGCCCGCTCCGCCTCCCCGGAGACCACGCAGTCTATCTCAGCAAAGGCGTCCAGCAGGACATTGAAGTGCGCGTTCTCGTAGCCGCAGAGCACCTTGACCAGGTAGGAGAGGTGGAACCGGAAGTCCTGAATGGCTCTTGTCACGTCCCTGGGCTTGTATTCCTGAATGATGGAGAACACATCCCGGGGCTCCCTGTCCTTCCTGCTGAACAGGAACTCCCAGTAGTGCAAGAGTGCGAGGTAGCTCTTGGGGAGGCACAGGACGGTGTTCCTGGAGAGGCGGGCCAGGACCGCCCCGCAGTGGATGAACTGGAACTCCAGCAGGGCCACCGTGTTTCCAATGCTGGGGATGAGTGGCTCTTGGCACCGCCTGACAAGGACATTCATGAACCGGAAAAAGAGCCTCTTGCAGTTTTCTGGGTTCCTGTACACGTAGAACTGGTCCATGCAGTTCTCCAGCAGCCGGATGAAGCACAGGTGGGTCTTGTCGGCACTCTGCTCATCCTTGTTGGGCACCAGCATGCCAAATTTCCCTTCCACTCCTTTCTTCCTGCTGCCTCTCCCCGGCCCCCTTCCTCTTTCCGACTGGAGAGCTTTGCGTTCCCTGTTGTAGCTGTCCTCCTCCTTGTGCAGCAGCTTCTCAAACTCCGCTGGGTAGTTGGAAGAGAGAAGGAAAGCCTGCATGGCCCTCAGCCACAGGTCTGTAGACTCCCGGCGGTTTTGTGCGCTTTCTTTTTGGAACAGAAAATGGATGTACTCTTTCAGAGCAAACCTGTAAGACCGGAAGGCTCTGCCACCTGGTTTGAGGATTTCTTTGCATGCCATGGCGTTTTCTGACAACACCCTCTGATGAAAATGTTTAGGGAAGAGGACATTCAGGAAGGATTTGCAGAGTCTATATGTGTCTGTAGACAAAATATAATCGATTTCTTCAAGTTCTTTAGCTAAGATTTTAGGGAAGACTTTTTTGGCTTCCAAAAGCAAGCCATTGATCGCCACCAGGTGCAGTTTGGACTGAACCAAACACTTGGCCTCACAACGCCGCAGGGGCCTGTGGAAAGCTTCACAGTTTTCATCCTCACATTTTAAGCCTATGATGACCCTGGCACAGACACCCGGGTAGGTCTTCCCAAGCAGGCTCTGTGTGATCTGACACAGCCTGTTCAAAAGGTGCTTGTTCAGGGCTAGTTTCACATGGTCAGTTGTTATCAAGAAGTGCTCTTTTGTTTTCTTCTCTCTCAAGTTCAAATTCAGGTCAACGATTATTCTTAATATGGGCCCAGGGTCATTCTGAGCAATCTGGCAATACTTGGCATCCACCTGAGAAATCCCAAAAACCTCAAAGCAAGACTTGACCATCTCCTTCTCCGCATTGTTGGTCACTTTCTTGAGGGCCCTGACCAGATCGAGGAGCAGCTCCAAGCCTGCCGGGGCCAGGGCCAGCACACTCTCCGGCCCAGTCTCACAGTGGCCAGTGGCTGCATAGAGTGCTTCCACCACTCCAGCCGCGTGGTTGAGGGATTCAAACTTGAGGAAGGCCTCCTTGAGCTTCTGAAAGTCTCTCAGGAGTACCCCCTGCAGGAAGTGGGCCTCAGCGATGCCAGAAAGCTGGTTGGTTTGACAGCAGAGATCAAGGGCTTCTTGCAGAATGGCCTTGGTACGCTCTGCATCGGAGCCCCTGGCCACATTGAGGCGGGCAGCCCCCAGCAGACACGAGGCCTGGAAGTCCTTGTCGGCAGTGAGCCTGGCAGCCTCCAAGAGGCAGCCGTGTTGCTTCATCAGCAAGGCAGCCTCTTCCCTCCGACCTTCCCTGTTCAGCAGGTCTGCAGCTTCTGCTAGCCGCTTCCGAGACTTGAGGAACACCAGCTGGTCTTCTGTGTCCAGCTTTGAGAGGACAGCCATCATCTCCTTGATCTTATTTGCACTAAGGTACTTCGCTGCAGCTTCCAAGTAAAACTGACTGGCAGAATAGGAGAGCTTGGATATCGGTAGGGTTTTGGTCCTTAGCATTTCTTCGTACCTACAATAAGAGACAGCATAGATGTCACCTCATTACCACCCTGTAGAAAGTTTCCTCCAGAACACAATATAAAATTCCCACAAGTACATATAAATTGCAAAAGAGGATCTAAACTTATCCTGCATATTTATTTGTAAATGCTTCATCTGCCACTAGTAGCATTCTTTATTTTCTAAGGGAACCAAGAATTAGTTGGCTTCACTAATGAAATATGGTGGAGTTGCAACCTGAGCAAGTGAAAGTTCAGTTCAAAAGTCAATCTGAAGGGCAAAAAGTCTGCATATCCTTGACAAAAAAAAAAAATCCCTCAAACTTTTGTAAAAACATGATGATGGTTTAGATATACAACCCTGTTCAGTCTGCAGTGTGATTAACAAGGAAGGATGCTGATGGAAATGGCCCAAACACCAGCAGTTACACTGGCCTTCCTCTTGTGACCCAACCTGTGACTTCTCTCTTTTGTCAGATATGCATGAGGCGGAGTTAGTGTGAGACTAATAAGCTCTGCAGGGCTCCCTTTCATTCTGCTCGTCTAAGTCTGTACCTCCCACACTACCAATTTTGAAGGCACTGGAATAGCCCAATAAAATATGTTTACTTTTGAACCTTCGCAGAACAACATACATTTCCTCATAACCAGAGAAGTGCCCAGGGACCTTATGATGCCCTAGGGTTATCCTACAAACATCAGACTTGACTTCCTAGTACAGCATGAAAGGGTGGAAATAAGGGTGATGGGAATATACTTCTCATGTGAGCACTGGCTGATGGAGCAAGGAGTATTTTGAGCAAGTTGAAGGAACTATCCAGGTATTTTTTTTTAATCTCAAATGCCCTCAATGCAGTTTGAGTCAGGCCAGTTAGTGACTGAATTCTACATCCAGGATGCATGGCATTCAAACAACACTCCGATAAATTAGTGGGAGGCTAATTTAATTAATACTCAGATTAATACTCAGACTGTACTTGGATCTCAGCTAAACACAGCATTAAAAACTCTCATTGTATACCTCAGTAAAGCTGAAAAAAATAAGTGATTAGAGACCAAAAATAATGTTTCTGGAGATGATCTATGATTACTCAATGCTTTTCTGGAAAAGTGAGAAGGTTAAATAAATAATGGAAAGCATTATAAAAAACAACTCTTAGCCTGTTTTGTCATATCAACAGGCTAAGAATACCAGTTCCCCACAAGGGAACTGGCCTGGGTGACTCACATGCCACTGCACAGCATCCTGATAGCTGGGCAGCCAGTAAATGCCACGGCTGACACCCTGTTATGGACTGATAGTTCGTGTCCCCTAAAACTCATATGTTGAGGCCCCAGCCCCCAGGTGGTTATATTTGAAGACAGGACCTCTAGGGAAGTAATTAAGGTTAAATAAGGTCGTAGGGGTGGAGCCCTGATCCAATAGGATCTGTGTCCTTATAAGAAGAGACCCTAGAGACTCGGGCGCCCCGCCCCCACCACTGGCCGCTGACTCTCCCAATTCTCTCTTTCCAAGTGGAAGCACCGAGGAAAGGCCGTATGAGGACACAGTGGGAGCCCAGAGGAGGGCCCTCACCAGCTCCTAACTGGCTGGAGCCCTGACCCTGCCCTCTCAGCCTCCAAGACCATGAGGAAATAAACTGCTATGTTTAAGCCATCCAGTCTATGGCATTTTGCTACTGCAACCCTAGCTGGCTGATGCACACCTACTGTGTACATCACATGCACAAGGGCACCAAAGGCCTCAATAAAGGAAGTTCCTTGATTACCATCCATGGCACTGAATACCTGCTTTCCCACCCCACCCCCGCCCCCACCAAATAATCCCTCAATTTATTTATCTAGGTGCTGGTTACACAAGGGCATTTACTTTGTGACTATTATGTACATATTTCTTGAATATATATTTTATTTTAATAAAAGCTAACTTAAACATAAAAATCTAAATTTGAATATCTGGGTAAATTATTTTCATTTGATCACATGTATAATTTGGTAGAAAGCAAAGAAAATCTAGAAGCAGTCCATAGCCCCATAGCCTACTCTTCCAGGAGCTGTGTGGACTCAGACCCTGCTGAGCAGCTGTGAGGGAGAGAGGACTCTAATCCCAGCTGTCTCAGGCCATCAGGAGGCTCTCCAGGGGCCTCAGTCACATGCTGTTTCTAAACACCCTGTCAACCACTATCTCCACTTCACACTTGGAATGTGAGCTGGACTAATGGCTCCAGGAGGCACTCCTGGGTCATGTATGAAACATGTGTGTCCTACAACT